TTGAATTTTGCTGACTTTAGATACAGTAATGATCAATTTGTTTTCCAGAAAAATAATATTGCTTCCATTAATATGTAAAGTTAACGTCCTTAATATTAAGAGTTGTTATATAATTCGAACTACTTTTTGCAGCCCATAAAAATAAGCATGCTAACTAACTCTATCTTAGTTATTATGCAAGGCCAGATTACTACCGCCTTCTTTGATCCCATTGTGGTCTGCATTATTCCAAATATTCCTCGCGTATGTTAATGGTTGATTCTGATCAGCCAAAGTGTATCACTTTCAAGCAATTGAAGAAGGATAGATTCTGTTTTTCCAATGGGCTAAAAAACGCTTTCAAAGAAGGGAAAGCTATAATGTCACGAAACTCGAGAAAGCAAATTGATCCTCGGTTTGACCCCGATATCCACGGTATTTGTGACTTGGGGAACTGGAGTTTTTTAGAAAAAGAAAGAGAAGACAATATTCGGGTGATTTATTTTGCCTTTTTGGCTAATTTTGTGGGTTATTTACTAGCTAAGGTAGATGTTTTTATCGTAATTGCTAAACTATGACGCTAGACTACATTACCTTCCTAATTACAATCACGCTTACTTTTTGCTATTTTTCGCTATTTATGAAGTTATTCTACCGATTAAACGTATACTTACTAATTGCATATATTCGACCCCATGTTTAAGGAGTTTATCTTTCTTTTACCCAAATGATTAAAAAAATTATGCCATTTAAATTTCAGGCTGTTAGCAAATTATTGAAGCGTGGTGTTGATTCTGACACCGAAGCAAAGGCGCTGCGCGCTTTACGCCTGCTGAAGCAGAGAAAGGCTACCGACAAAGACGTAAAGTTCAGGCGCGAATTTATTGGTAGAATTCGAAAAGAGCAAGAAAAAGACCTTGTGTCAGGAAAACGAGTCACCTTTTTGAAAAGGGGTAGGTGAGCTATTTTCCTCTTAGTGCCTGATAGCTTTAATTTATTTTCGTATATAAGCGGGGTTTCGAGACTACCAGTAAATCAGTTGTTTGAGATGTATTCGCCCTATTTTGTTTAAGCTGATGAAGGAATGGTAGTATAATTTTCTCACACTTACGAGCAGAAATGATTTTTGCATTGAATTTCGCATAGCTTTGCTTTCCAAAAGTTGTCCTTATCCAGGCTGGACTGCAGTTTCCACCTCGCCTAGGTTTTCTTAACGCCCTTAGCGGGGCTCGAACCGTGATAGTGCGTCATGCGAGCCTGACCCGTTAACTACTCAGCCACATTGCCACGAGTGCTTTTAGGCCACAACTCATAACTGATTTGCTCTGTTTATACACTAAAATAAGTAATGTAGTCTATTGTTATAGCAAAAATATGCTCACTTCAACAAAAATGCCATTAAAGAATGTGATATTTGAAAAGGCCTGGCCTTAAAACTCACATCTGCTTTATGACCTAAGGGCACTCATGGCAATATTACTGGATCGTCAACGTATTAAGCTAACGTGCTGCATTGTGATGATTCGACTCCTGCTGCGAGTGTTGATAGGACGTAGGTGAGGCTGAAACTGCAATCCACTCTGGATGAGAATGACTTTTAGGAAAGAAGTGCTGTGTAATTCAATGGAAAGGTCAGCTCTACTCATATCATAGTGGGAAAGTTCTATCATTCCTTCATCAGCTTAAACAAAATAGGGTGAATACATCTCATTCAGCTTTATTTTAGCGTACCGCCTTTCCCCTCGATCACTTTTGCACCATTGAATCCGACATTAATGGTCATGGCCCATGCCCGGAACTATTTTAGCACCATTCATTTCTACTATGACATCTTCCAGCAATATTTTTCATGAGCCTTACTTTTTCGGTGCCCTTATCGCAATAGGATTACCTCTTCATTTGCAAAAGTAATGCACATCTAATTTGCCGTAAGCTTTTCTGACATATTCCAATACATGCTTTCGACCTTTGGCGCAGCACCATTAATTCCACCACTTGACCGTATTATTACTTCACAAAAGATGAGGCAGCACTATAGCCGCAGATTTTGCATGACTTTTTTGGACACCCTTTGTCGGCCTAATTCTTGAGCTCCAAAGCACCTTTCGAGGGTCCATGCATGGCATCCCGCCTGAGCGATGTAGTTACATAGAGACGCATTCCTCTGGGCCATCTAAACAGTTGTGCGGGAAAATGCCATCACACGCACTGCGTAAAAAACCACCTCGTGTGCCAATACACTCCGGTATGCATTATGGAACCTCGGGTATACCAAAGGGATGGTATGTACCAGCTTGTAGATGGCTAGGTTGAACAAGTCGGCGCAATTAAAAAGTTTTCAGGGGGTTTACATGAGTTCTTTCCACCAGCCTAAATGGCTCGCTATGACCGAAAGTCTGCACTTGTATCTTATCCATGAAGTCACTTTTCTCTTATTTTTCAGCTGACCTTAGGAAGCAAATGGAGGAGGCCCGCTTGAAGAAGATGGGCAAGAAAGAACGCTTAAGACACGCGAACAGACAAAGACGACGGAGGGCCACGGATGCCCAATAAACTATTTTGGTTGAAATAAATACCTCCAAGCATATTTCGATGTACATTGAT